GTTGTTTTTTTTGCTGCCTGCAAAGAAACATAAACACAGCGCTCATTTCTGGCAGGTTTTTACTGTCAGAGTTTCTCCTATTATATTTATCTTACAATTTGCCAGGGGGTGAAGTTATTAAGTTTTAGCAGCAGCCATCGATCAAGTTCACAAGTTAACACGATAAAGGCTCTGTGCCGCTCCGATCCGGGAAAATGATGATCCTCACTCGGTAATTAACTAAATGAGAAAGTTAAATCTTACTTGAGAGCTGGGAGAGATGAAAGAGAGGTGTTTGTCAGTTTCTCAGTGGAAATTAGAAGCAGTTTTCTGCAATTCCCTAAGCTGCTGCTCTGTCATATTTTACATAAGCACTGGGAAAACGTCTTGTAATTAGTGCTGTCATGGAGGATTTTTTTTGCTGAAGGATGTTGGAATAATTCATTAGATTATCAAGAAAGGCTTGTGTCCTGAAATGATTAGCACAGTGAAATTTAAACCATTAACGATAACAAGTTTAGAGCTTGCTGCAGTGCAGAGGCACCCGGGGTATGTCTATGCCTATTTCAGTCATTTCTTATAATTAAACATTATGTCCTCTTTTTTCCTCCCCTTCGCTAAGACCCATCCAAAATTCCTGTTAAGGTGGCTCTGTCTAGATCAGCGACTTAACCACGACTAGTGGTACAAGCAGTTGGAGGTGAAATGCTGTGATTGCAGATAAGCAGTAGAAGACATCTCTGCATCAGAGCCTGTAGTCCCAGGGAGTCTGGGAAGGAGGGGGGAAGCCCAGTATGACCTGTCAGTACTGGAATGTCAAAGGGAAATCCTTTCCTTTTGTCTGGAGAGGAACTTTGAGAAATTTGCAGTGATGGTCTAAGCCCTCTGTCTTTTCAGAGCTCCAGCATGAAGGTGTCTTGAAGGTTCAGAAGGTCCCAGACCTTGCTGGGATCTTTTAAGCTATTCTTGGTATTCCAGGAGACAGCTTTTCTTTTTCATTGACTTTAAGAGATGTCTTTTTACATTAAGAAACATATAATCTGAATTCATCCACCCCATGAAAAGTGCCTTAACAAAGTCCTCTGCAATGATTAGAGGACATGGTAGTGATTTTTTTTTTTAACTATATAAGCATTGCGACCATTGTTATGGGTGGGAAAACACTATACCTACACTAGAATCAGAGAACTCTGCTTGTGTTTGGTTTTCCTGTGCTTTAGGGTCCCTTGTACTGAATAAAACCAGAAGTAACCCTGGTTGTCATATGTGGGTTACAGTTGTAATATACCATGGCTGTTTTGTTTTATATGCAGAGCAGTAGATTTATCCAGGCTTTATTTATCTGTGTTGAAATATTGCACCTTCCTATAGTTGCAAGCCATTATTTAGATTAAAGTCCTTTCATATATTAGTCCTCTTCTGCTTCACTGGGCATACAAATGTGCTTTGTGTTAAATGTAGCCATTTGGAGAAATGGTCTTGTAATTATGGGCTGCAATGGAGCATAGTACGTGGATCCCTGAGCTAGTACCAACCTGAGGCACTCAGTCCCCTGGGTTTCCTGGCACAGCTTACTAGCCCAGGCACACTCTTGTGGGAGGACACCTCTGCTGTTCCTGCAGACGAGTTGTTGTGCCTTGAGCCAGCTGGGGCACCTCTCAGCCCTCACTACAGGGGTTTGTAAAAAGGAAGTCAGAAAAGCTTTACCTGTTCTGAGTTAGGAGTTTGCTCTGTTATACCCAAACTTCCTTCCAGGTGATGGACTACCAGTGCTTATTCTTCTTTGCCACTTTTGGAAGTGAAGCTTATAAAACACATGACCGAATCCAGTGCATTTGGATGGCTGTTTACCCTAGCAGTACAGAGGGCATGTGGGACAGCTCTTTCTTTTTCAGGTGAGGCCTGGTTATTGTACCAGAAGAGGGAAGAGGCTGTAGTCATCTGTGTGCTCCAGGACATAGTTGCTGATATTGTTCTGAGGTAGTTTGTCGTGAACTTGAGGCAGTTGATGAGAATGGTTGAGTCATTGGGGTTTCTCAGGAAGCCACATCAATTCTCCTACTGATAGTAACTGCTCTCTCCCCCAGTGCTTTAATTATACAGATATTTGATGTTGTTGTTTTGTTGTTGCTTTTTTAGTAACAGGCCTTTTTCACTGAACCCCCAGTGGATTTTTATGAGTCTTCAAATAGAAATTTGGGAATTTTGTTCTAAACTGTTGGCTTGGGGGAGGAATGTGAGCATGTATTGCAACTGAGTGATTTGGGAGCCCTGTGAGTTCATCTGTCTCTACCCTGCAGAACTGGTGTGTTCATGGCTTGTCCTGTCCTCCTGCTTGTATAGACCACAGGATCTGCTGGGCATACCATGGCTGCCTCTGGGCTTGTCCTTGCTCCTTTTGATGGGAAACCAGAGTAGGCAAGGGTGCAAACCAGGTCTCAAGTTGACGTTGTCAGAATGCAGCTGAAGTACATGCATGAGCCTAAATAATACAGTGTTTCTTGTCCACTAATTTGGACATAAGCACTGTAACGTATAGTACTTTTCTTAGCAGAACCACTGTATAAACCTGGAGTTTGATTTCCAGAGCTGTTATAAGTGTTGGCCAATGGACTCTTTAATTTACTCATTATTCCCCCCAAGAGGTTTGTGTTCACTTGGGACCCAGACAAAATGCGTTGCTTTGTCCCATCTAAGCCATCTGTTTGTACACACATAAGCCATTACTTGTTTTTGCAGATGTTGCAACTTCTGTTTGATACCCCAAACTGATGTTTTAGAGGTACTTGAGGAGCTCAAAGCTGCAGGGAGAAGGGTGCTCAGGAGGCAAGGAAAGGCCAGAACACGGTGCCACCCCATGAAAGAAGTTGTCCCTTTCATGATCTTTGCGTATCAGCTGTCCACTCTGCTCCAGCTCAGCATATGAGTGAGACTTCAGTCTCTCAAATTAAAAGGCAGAGATATAGGTTTTTAAAAAATGCTTTGTAGAGACAGCCTGTTGAGAGATGTACAGCAAACAAAATGAGAAATTAAATGAGGTCAAGCTTGTAGAATACAACATCTCTCCGCTGTCTTAATCCAGCATTTTTACAGGAGTATCTGTTTTGTAGCCAGCTTAACTGCAGCAAAAATGGCCAGGATCCCTTTAGACCAAGCAATGTTCAGTACAGTCAATTGGTAATCATTTTTTTGCCAAGCTGCTGCCTACTGTGGGCTTTGCTAGGGAAAGTCCACCCTTTCACACCTAGCACTTCATGCCCACAGTCCCTTTAGTGATTTCTCTATATAAAAAGTTGGTCCAAAAGAGAGTATTTCATTCCTAACTGGCTCAGCTCAATTACTTGTTTACATTCAGTGCTGTCCATGTGATGACTACATGAAAGTGCAGCTCAGTCGTAGCCCTTGTCTTGCATGATCTTACTGAACACACACAGAAATTCACAGGGATGAATGGGGATAAAAATAAAATTGAAAACATTGAGCTTCAGAATTGAGAACGGTGTGATCTCCATGTTCTGTGTTCTTAAAGAAACTTAAATCAAACTGTAATTCAGAAATAGAAAAAACTACTTGTTAAAAATGACAGCTAATTACTGTCTTTTTCTACCAGAGGAAAGTCTGTCTAGCTCTGCTGGAAATGCTGAAAAGAGTATTTAGATGTTTTTTCTCTAGAAAATTAAATGTACGTGGTGATTAGTTGAGTAGATTTCCAAATTATGAGGTTTTTGGTGTTCTAAAGTCAGGATTGCTGCTGGGGTTAGGGGCATATTGAAGTATGGGAATTATTTATTCCTGAGAAGTGAGAAATTCCTGCATTCCAAGCTCAGTTTTGGTAAATAGGTTTTGTGGTCTCTAAATAACCCACTGTTTTAGCACTTGCTGAAAAAAGGCTTTTTTGTTGTTTGGTTGTTTTTTTTCTTTTCCTGTAAAATCAGTTAATCCATTTCTTTTAGATCATTAGATATATTTGCAGAGATCTGAGTATTGAGATTTTTTCCCTTAAAGTTAATAAAGTCTCCTGGTGAGGTTGATGCCTGGAATTATCTTCATAGAACAGAAATATAACATCCCTACATCAATGTTTTAGATATTCTGGTATCTGTAATATTTGGTAATTGAGAACCTTGAAATGTATTTTGTAAATAAAAACTATGTAATAATATTGACTGTTATTATAATGCTGTCTGGTGTTAAACCATTGCAATGAAAGGGAGAAAATAACATTTTCAGCATTCAATTCAAACTATTTGACCAGTATGGGAAAAAAATAATTCCCCAGCAAACAGTTAATCTTACTTGGATAAAGGATATCCTTGCAATGCAAAATGTACACTTTTCTTCCAGGTAAATTGTTTAGAAAGCAGAAATTATATCTTGCTATCAAGTAGTAAATTGAAATGTCAGTGTTTTGTTTTGTCCATGAAACTTTCTTTGAGCTGAGTCCTTGTGACAAGATATTAGCAGTGCTCAGAAAGGAGAAAATCTTTTATTCTGTGAAAGAAGTATGTACCAGGGTGTGTTTTAGCTGGCTTTATTCTCAAAGTATAGTTTTATACTCAAAATAAGTACTATCAATTTTTTTGTCATCCATTTCTTACGTTTCCTATAAATTTTAGCAGAGTCCATTCTTTAGAAAAAAAAACCCAACCAAACGTAATACAAACGTGGTTTTCTGTTGGTGCATTGAAGTAACTGGTAACTGTAGATTAGGAATCCAAATGCATTTTCCTGTCTGCACAATGTAAATAAAATTGTTCATGTTAAATTGCTACTTAAGGTTTCCCATCTAACCATGGTCCTTGGTGTGCAGCTCTGGCGCGAGCCAGTGCATTGTCCTGCAGGGGTTACAGCTCGCGATGGCTGCGCTCCGGCTGACAGCACCAAGTGGGACACGAGGCCTCGGCCAAATTTATGTACCAGTGCTTTTTTCCTTTTGCTTTTTTCCCCACAAAAATCATAAAACCACTTGAGCTTCTTTTCATATGTATGATTTGGGTTGTTTCTCTCCTTCCTGTTTACAGACAAAACTTGCCAATGGCACTTCCAGTATGATTGTGCCCAAGCAAAGAAAACTGTCTGCAAGCTATGAGAAGGAGAAGGAACTCTGCGTCAAGTATTTTGAACAGTGGTCCGAGTCTGACCAGGTGGAGTTTGTGGAGCACCTCATCTCCCAGATGTGTCACTACCAGCACGGACATATAAACTCATACCTCAAACCAATGTTACAGCGGGACTTCATCACTGCCCTGCCAGGTATTTCTGCAGGCAGAAGGAGCTTGCTCCTCCGTCTTGTCTTTCAGAAAACTGTTCCATTCTGGACTAACCTGCTGGAGAGGTCTCTTCTAGGGTCAGTTTGCAAAACAGATGATAGCTTTTGAATTAAAAACTCTATAACGGTATGAAATGTAGTAATATTATATTTTGTATCCCTACAAGGCATGATCTAATACCACCATGGTTTGGCTAGGATTAAATGATAGGTCATATACATATTGGAAGGGTAGTCATCTCAAGCCACAGGGCAGGTAGTTGTACTCATAATGCCCACAACTACTACTCTTTCTGGTTGCTCAGATGAGGCTTTCCCTTTTCTTTCTTAGATTTTTTTTGTCTCTTTTTTTCCGTAGTAAAATACCTTCCTGAAGCTATCACTTTGATTATGTGTTTATTGCTAATAGAGAATGGAGGATATAAGATCAAAAGATGGAAATGTTCTATTTTTTTTTTTTTTTTTTGCACCTCTGTGGTGCTTTCCACTGAGAATATTATCCCAGCTTTTGTCAGATGTGACATTGGGTGTGTATCATGGAATGCACACATAAAGTAGTGTACCTGCAGTTTTGTATTCCTCCTGTATTATATGTGGGAAAACTTGAGGCAGTGGGAGATAAAATATATACAGCAATTCAGAACCAAACAGGAATTCCTGTCTCTTTGGGTCTTTTTGCAGACCATTAGATTGTACCTCTGTAAACAGATAGATAGATAGTTAATAGATTAGCATTTCCATGGCATAGGTCCTTAGTTTGAGATGGAGCTGAGCAAGAAGTGCTACAGGTGTTGTCTCTAAATAGCTAGTTGAAGAGAGGAGTTTCTTGCCAAAAGCTTGTTTTGTGAATACCTTTGGAGAACTGCTGAACTCTGACAATTTGTTCAATCCAGTCATTCGATCATTCCTCAGAAAGGATTTCTCCACATGAAATTTAAGTTCTAGGGTTAAAACATGGAAAAAAAGCATGTTTAACTGTGAACCGTACAAAGCATAAAGCTTTGCTATGAAGTTAAATACATAGACTCACTGGATTTTTAAGCTCATTGTGCCCAGTAATCAAATGGCTGTTGTAGCATTAAGAAAAAAAAAAATCTTAGTTATGCTAAGTACCTACTTTATGTTCGTTTTTAGTCATCCAATGTCAATAATCTCCTGTACTTAGAGCAGCATTATAACTTGTGGAGCTGTTCTGTTTTGGAAAAAAAGGGTGTATTTTGAAAGTGAGTTGTTTTCCCCACTTTTAAAGTGAAAGTGTACATATAGTTACAAACAATTTTCACAGGTTTTTCTCCACAAAACTCCATCAAAGCAAGCCAACACTTCTCATTTGCACTTCTTAATTTCATCCTATAGGCCTTTTTTCTGAAATTTTTGGGCAAATGTTGTAAGTATTTTCAGAGGCATTCAACATTTCCTAGCCATACCATGTTTGTTAGCAGTCTTTTCACAGTTACCCAGGAAGCAGCTAATTTTACTATCTCAGAATGCAGAACAGATTGGAATCAGGCAGCTAATATGTGAGTATTTGAACAGTTGTGGGAACTGTGTGCTTAAATAATGTATATTCATCGATTTGCATATTTGCAAAGTGGTACTGTCCTCGTGAATATAGGTTTAAGGGAGAAAATTAATGGCAAGGAATTACACTCTTCAGTCTGTGCAGGGTGTCCTGAGTATAGGCAGGTTTCTAATGAGGAGAATGGGAAAGGCAAAGGTAAGAAAATGCCTAGGAAAGAGTGGTGAACCTAAAATTTTAAATTAAGTCACATAATAAAAAACCCTGAACTCGTTAAGTGTTTTTTAGCTTTCTGAAATTCTCAAGTGTTCAGTATTCTGGTTTCATTTTCACTCCTTCATTTTCTCTTCTGCTCTCCCCCTTGAGTAAATAAAACAATAAAGCTTCTTCAAAATCATGAGGCATCTTATCTCTGTCCTCCTAGCACTGTCCCAAAGAATGACCAGAATTAAAGATAGTTTTAGGTCATGAGCACGTTTTACTAATACAGAGTAAAATTGGCTCAGATTATCTTCCCAGTACTTTGAATAGAGTTAAGGTTGTTTGAAAAATACAGCTTAACTGTGTACTTAACAAACTTTGTTTTGTTTCTGAAAAATAAGGTCTCTGCTTAACATTTCCAAGCTGTTTAACATTTTTCGTGAGGAAAGTAATTTTTGTAAGGGTTTCATGTGTGAAGTAACTGAAACATTCTTGTTGAGATGAAGGGCTGAAGAGCTAATCATGTTTCACATCAATTTAGCAAAAACTTTTGTGAGCGGATCTTTCTCTTTTTTAAGGACATGGTGCTTTGTTAGATATATGTCTCAGTGAGTTGACTGTTCCTAAGAAACAAAATAATAAAGTTGAGTTTGCAGCCAGGCCAAAATAATTCTACCCATCCACTTATCATAAAAGTGAGTAGGAGAGGCCAAAACATTAGTATTCTTTATTTGTGAAGAGTCCAGGATCGATGGCAAAGGATGACTTACGGTCATGGAACTAGTTACAACACATTGTTGCAGCAAGATTTAAAGTCCAACTACTGATGATCCAGAAAAGGCAGGTGGCTCAGGGGGGGGTTTGTGGGTGAAGATTACTGTGCTTCATTCATGCACTGTAGCCCTGCTTCCTAAAGCCACCAGTTGTTCCCTGTATAAAATAATTTATTGCTGTAACGCTGCTGACATAAAGCCACCAGTATGGGTACTACACAGGCAGGCGTTTGGAAATGTCCTGGTGGGTCTGTAAATGTCTGTGGGCCCACTGGAAGCAACACAGACTGGGAAAGCAAATCCGCCTTTTCCACTCAGCGAAGAGAGCTCAGGGCTGCAGGTGTCAGGGTGGGGAAGCAGGGGGACATGATGTCCATGTCTGCCCTACCAGATTACTGAATTCCTGGAAATTGCAGTTCATGTTCACTAAAACATTGTACCTCTCTTACCACAAGTTGCTGTGGAGTCAATCTAAATTTGGAAACACTCTTTTTTTTTTCTTCTTTGAAAAAATTTTGTATAGTGGCTGTATATATCTTTTCAGATTAAATGCATAATAAAGGCTGCTGATGCTTTTATTTTGCAGGTTGACATCTAATTTTGCATCCATAAAGATAAGAAATGTCAGGCCTCTTTCTGCACTCTCTGGTATCATTCATGTGCTTTTTCTACATAAGAATGGAAGCGTAAAAAGCTGGGCAGAATGTCTCGCCCAGAATGTATTATAAATTTACGGTGTTTGAAAGGAGTGAGAGGAGGCATGCTGAATTTTCTCATTTTTGTGCATTGGGAGACAATTTTGAGATCTTTTGGTTAATGAAAACAAAAGTTGGGCCTTTTGTGTGTCATGAACTCTAATCAGAATCAGCTGATTGTGCCCAGTTAGGGTTTGCAGAAATACAGACATGTGACTGTAAAAGTGCACTTGCTGCTTTTAGTTTCCCTGTCACAAGCAGGGCCTGGTCTTTGAGACTGTTGTTTTAAAAGCAAGAAAAGATGCATTTAACTCTGTCCCAAATGTGAACCAGAGGGAAGATGCATGTAATACCAATCTGCCATGCTTCCTTTTTGGTTGGACCAAACATTATGCCTGAGGGATGATGGGGTCTAAACTACAACTTTCATAAAGCCTCTGAAATTTGACCTGCGAAGTGAGATAAACTCTTCACGGTGTGTCTCACTTGTGAATTAAGCAGCCTCCAAGAGAAGCTGTGTTTTTGCAACATCTCATTTAAAAGGCATCTTATTTTCCTGAAGGCTTGATGGTGATTAAATTTGAGTGGGTAAGGGCACATCTTTATGGAATACATCCACCCAGTTAAGAGACATACCATAACCTACCCTGGCCCCCAGCTACGCAGACATTACATTGGGCTGCTTGGTGCTAACCAGGCAATTGCTTTACATTTCACTCCAACCATGTTGAAAAAAATCCGGTCCTGGTATTCACACTGGAAATTATTTGCAAATTATACCATTTTGGTGCATATTTTTCCTCCATCCACTAAAATAAATGAAACTAGCAAACCTGCTTCACTTTCTTCTTACACAGCTTCTCCTTCCCTCTCAACTTCCCTGTGCATCTGCATATCTTTCCCTCCCCCATGTCTAAAGGTACCACTACCCTTCAGGGCACACATTGGGAATATATATTTTTTTCTTCATTACGTTTAAAAGCTACTGCTTTAGCAAAAACAGCTTTTGAGCCGTTGGAACATGAGAACAGCTGTAGCAGTGAGATGAGAAATGGTCCTAATATAGAGAGATTTTGGGGGCTGCGTCGCTAAGTTGGAAATGCCATCCATAGAATATCCCCCTAGTGCTAAAACCCATTGAAATAGATTGGAATGACTTCTCAGATTCTTTATTATTTTTAATGACTTGTTGTGTTATATCCAAAGGAAGTTGGAGAACGCTGTTCACTCCTGAACTTAGCTGCAAATGCTCTTCTGTGCATTTGGTCCAGCTCTGCATGCAGAAGAGGAGGTGGAAAGAGGGGGTATCTTTGTACTAGCAAGGGGAGTTGCTTTAAACTTCATGTCTCCCCAGCAAATAATTGTTGGTTTGTTTTTTTTTCTCCCCCAGCTCGGGGATTGGATCACATTGCTGAGAACATTCTGTCATACCTGGATGCCAAATCGTTATGTGCTGCTGAACTGGTGTGCAAGGAGTGGTACCGGGTGACATCGGATGGCATGCTGTGGAAGAAGCTCATTGAAAGAATGGTCAGGACAGACTCCCTGTGGAGGGGGTTGTCAGAGAGGAGAGGATGGTGAGGAAAACTTCATCTCTTTTGCCCCCATTCAGGACAGTAGATGCTGTGTGTTTCAAACCATGTTTGAAGAGGTTTATTTAGCACCCTGAAACATGATGTTGGTTTAAAACCTGACTGTTGCTTAAATCAGAATTTAGGGATTGGGGAGTTAGGGTATCATTTGGCTATGCAGGCGATGTGGGGGCTTTTTCCTCACCTTCCCCATCTGATCATGCTCTTATCCCACTGTGACAAGTGAGATATACAGACTGAGATTTTTATGCCCAGCTGTCATTCGGTTCAAATTAAGAAGCTGTGTACGCCCCAGGGAAACACTAAACTAGTCAGCAGTTCAGAGCAGAAGAGCTTTTTTAGGGGTGGCAGTGGGGCAGCATGTGCTATGAATTAGTTGTTTCCTGATAGGTTTGTTTGTTTTCCTCAGCAGATTTTCACTATTAGATATCTGTTTAATTTTCAAACTGGAAGCTGAGGGTAGGTACCACGGAGAATAGGGGACTTTAGAAATGCAGATAGATTAGTTAATAATCATCTGGAATAGCCTTACTACAATGTGGGTCTCACTCAAGTTTGAAGCTGCTCTGTTAACATTTCATTAGAACTTTCCCTCTCAGGGGTACGTCCTTTAATACATAATTTTCTTTTCCAAGGGTGTCCCTAGGATGTTGGCAGAAGGGAAGCTGGGTATGAATATTTCATAAACAAGATAAAAGTGACAGCTCAGGCATTTTGGTTGCTATTAAAAAGAAAAAGATACAGAGTTGCAAACAGAGACTCCTGTTTTATAGTTAATTCTGTTATACTGTTTGTCTCAGGAAGTAAAGGCAAGTAAATCAGGATTATGAAACATACTTTAAAAATAAATACTATTTTGACCTGGTTCCAATAGCGTAATGTTTATAAAGGGTGTAAAATAAACACAAGCATGGCAGTGGTAACTTTTTACATTGTTCTTAGTGCCTTGTTCTCTCTAGGACTTCTTTTTTTGCTCTGTGTTGTTGAGGTCACAGTAAGTCTGAAGAGGACCTTGAGAGGTTATTTAGTCCTTCCTGTTTCCCAAAGGCAAAGCCAGGTTTCTCTTAAGTCATCCCAGATGTTTGTCTAACTTGTTCTTAAAAGCCTTCACTGATGGAGATTCCCCAGGCCTTGCCCGGGCAAGAAATTCCACTGTTTCACTAACTTTACTGTTAAAAAGATTTTCCTAAAATCTAGGCTGTCTTCCTAGCTACAGTTCAGCATGTTCCATTTGGCCTACACAGACACACAGGACGGTTTCTCATTCTCCTTTTTGCAGTAATCTTTTCCATGTTGGAAGATGATCAGGTTTCCTATATTTTGAATGCACTAACCAACCATAATCCTGTGTTGTCTTGTCCTCTTGTCATTCTTGGTTTTCTCTGTTTAGACCCTTCCCAATTACTTTACTCCATTCTTGGAGGATGGTGTAATCAGTTGGGTGTCTTATTTCTGCTGAGGCAGCACCAGATTTTGGTGGTGTGGGAAGCATTGCTTTGCATGCTGTATGGAGGACACTCCATTTTATGCTTTCCAGTAGAACATGTGCTTTTTTTTTTTTTTTTAACTGTGGTATAATACTGTTATAAAATTAATTACCTTTTCTCTGGAAGTTCTACTTAGCCATTATTCCTCATCTTGCATGCTTATGTTGTTACTCAGTGGTGAACTTGGCACTTGTCCTTATTGAATTAGATTCTATTTATTGTTTGGTATGTCTCCATTTTGTCAGGAGCATTATGAGTTTAATCTTTTCCTCCAAAGTGCTTGTAGCTTCCCCCAACTTTAGTATCATTGGCCAGATAATAAATGTACTTCCTGTTCCATTCCTTGTCATTAATGAAAATTAATGAAAATGAATTAATGAAAAACACATCTAGGACAGACTCCATGAAAGATCCCAGTTGCTGTCCTAGTTGACAGTGCATCATTGGTAAACTGTGCTTTCCGGCCATTTGCGTGTCCGCCCTTGACTTCTTCCAAGACCATACTTCTCTTGCTAAGGCATGAGACTAGCCCATGAGAATAAATTAGGTCAGTTTGACATGGAGTATTCTGGATTGATCAGTGCTGCCTGTTGTTTGTCTCCATGTCATCTTATAGGGGCTCATCTGATTGACTGTGTGCTCTAGAACTGCAGACCTGTCAATGTTGAGTTGGATGGTCCACCATTTCCTTCGTGGACCTTCCCTTTATTTAGAATGCAAGAGCTACGTTTGTCTTTTTCCTGTTCTGTGGAACTTTACCTGTTCTCTACATCTGATCAGAGATACAGCTGATAGCTCTCAAGTTGCTCCCTCCAGATTTTAGAAATAACATTAGCACCAATTACTAGTCACAGACACATGACATTTCTAAAAAACAATTGCAAAATCCTGCTTGTCATCTCAAAGGACAGTCACACCCTGTTACTGCACCTCTTCTTCAGGTCTACACTGTGCCCTGGAGGTTGCTTTGACACAGCAGGAGCAAGTTGTGCCCTCTCTTTCAGATTGTTCTCTGATTAACCCTAGAAGGTACAATTGCAGGTGTGGTGGGGTGAATAAGAGAAACAGACAAGAAATATCCAGTGTAATTGCTTCTCTGCCATATAGAGCTTTATAGCTTGCAGTCCATGCTAATGCTGTGCATGGCAGAAGGAGGTGACTAACTGGACAGTTCTGAATGATAGATGGCTGGTGTTATTTGCTTATAGCTCCTCAATTTGCACGAGGGCTGCCTGATTTCAGCATTTGCAGCTCATGGTTTATAACAGAAATGCCCAGTTCTGCAGCATGGTAACCTTCACTGACAGCTTCCCCGGGAGCAGTAAGGGTTACACAGATTTAGAGAAATATAAAACAGAAGCCCAAAATCTGGGCATGATTGTGTACATCTGAATACTCGACTGAATTGGCTAGTCGTCACAACCTGAAAACAATAGTTTCTTTTATCCCAGAGCCACAGCACAACAGCCACTGGGATGCTGTGGAAATTCCAAGCAATCCTTTAGCTGAACTGTAAACAACTGACTCTACATGCAGCAAGGCAGGGCTCATAGATAGCAACAAGACCTTGTATTAGATCAGCTAGTACAGCTGGAACCGATAAACAGGTTTTCAGGCACATAGGCTTGTGTACAGATTGTCATAGACCTACCCCAAGTCTTCCAGGATGTCTCCTAGATATTCTGTGTTTCTCTGAAGTGTCTTTCTTCTCCCTGGGCCAATAATTTTAATTTTTTTGTATGCATTTCCAGACTGGATCACAGTAAATAGGCAACCATCTAGTTAGTGGTTTGCCTGCATCTGTGTGTCCCTTCTTCATGTGTGCTTGTCCCCATGTGAGTGACTGCTGGTCACTGTATTTGAAGACTCAGGTGATTGTTCTGTCCAAAGTGGAAAGCGCCTTTCTCTCAAGTCATACTTAAAGTACTATATTTAAAGAATTATCAAAAGTTCTTTTCTTGAGCATTTTTATTGTTTTGTTTGTTCAGTCCTATAGTTTGCCACTGCCTTATAACCTAAAAATTTTGGTTCATTGTTGTGATTTCCCTAGTTCAAGTACATCAGGGCAGCTAATGTACAGTCTCTCAAATGAGTTTCAAGGTATACTGTATGGAAAGGACAAGAAAGAAATGTGCAAGGAAGTATTGGACAATTAATTATGCCATAATGGAGCAAGGGAGGGAGAAGTGGAGAGCTGGCCCAGAGTAAACTCTGTGCCTCTGATGCCAGGATTACACTCGGAGGCATTTGTGCCTCTTTCCATTTTGTGAGGCATATTGCCAAGCAGAACAGCAGTTAGTACGCCCATGGTGGGGTTTACTAGCTTCCACACCGTGTTTGGTGGCTTCTTAACTTCAGGATGAGGAATTGAAGTTTTTTACACAGCAGGTAGTGATTGCCGTTTACGGATGTTTTTTGTAGCAAAAATCTAGCTTGGGATATGAGTATTCCAAATCAGTGTTGAAATGAGGGAGGCACCACACATGAAGTGTTGCTTACCAAAATATAGTAGTAGCAGTAAAATGTCCATGTACCAAAACTGATACTGTTCCTGCTAATGCAGATAAAAGCTGGCCTTGAATGCATAGTGAGTTTGAGGGTTCCTTGGCTTCTTTCATTTTCTTTGTTCGCTTTATTTTAAAGGTGACCTCTGATGTGAGTATGTGTATTGGAAGCATGAGCCACTCTCACCTCCTGTTGAGTTGAATGGGCTCATGTCCATAATAGATAATGTATTTCCCTTCCCTGAGTGACTAGGCATAGGTTTTTCATTAGTATTTCAGTGTCAAAATGCAACACTGACATGTTGCACAGCAAGCAAACAAGGAACCACCCCATCTTACTGAATAAATTAAGTTTGAATATGAATCTATCTTCTCAACAGTGGTTACCCATTTGTAAAATGCCAAGAGAACCTTTCTCCAAATTGCTGAAACATGATTTGTGTTCAATGGGAGTGTGCTTTGTCTTCCAGGGGACAATATCTATTTAAAAATAAACCTCCTGATGGGACTGCACCACCCAACTCCTTCTACAGAGCACTTTACCCCAAAATTATACAGGACATAGAGGTAAGAAACAGCTTCCAGTTGTAGTGCTGTTTGGTTGTTTGTTTTTTTTTTTTTTTTTTTCTTTTTTTTTTTTTTTTTTTTTAAATCTCCCTGATTTATTAATGATGCTGAAATTCCAAGACTATTTAATTCTAATGAAATATTTCATTAAATCTGATGTGTCTGTGTTTGTCCGAAGTTTGCAAATCTGAGATAGTTCTGTAAGGTCCCAGGCTTTGCTGCTCCTTTAGACAGAGGATGAGTTGGATTGTTCAGTGAACTGTTTGCAGATGGAGTCTCTACACCTTGCACGTCAGATGTCGCAGCAGGACTGTACTATCTTTATTTTCTCTGTTCCACAGTACTTTGCTCCACCCAGTGCAGATGAGACCTAATAAGAAGTTATAGGAAGATATAAGGAACTGAGCCGGGGAGGAAGTACATTGCTAAAGACTGCAATCCTAAGACCCAGGGAAACAGGAAGCAACTGAGCATGGTTGCCTTGTATTTAGTGTGAACAAAATGCCACATTCTGGTAGTTTCCTAATGGCAAAAGTGGTGCTCAGGCACTGTTGTGACACATTTGTACTAGAGCTCAACTGAGACTTTCTCTTCAGTTGTTTAGTTGTTGAGTCACAGTGGGTTAAAGGCTGGAGAGAGAAAAAAGCTTTTAGGTCACCTCTCTGTTACCATGCCAGATAACACAGACAAGGTTAGCCATGGTATGTTTTCCAGGCTTTTCTCCATTTAATTGGTTTTATTACATGTTACTTCTAGAAAGCAGTTATGTCATTGTATAGGTCTGATTGCAGGAAAAACTGTGAAGAAAAGTATCTGCTGTCTTCTCAGACAAAAAAAAAAGAGGAGGTAGTTCTGTGCTTTGTTTTTACTCCTCTTTTGTCTCCTGTCTCTCCTCAAGACAATAGAGTCAAACTGGCGGTGTGGAAGGCACAGTTTACAAAGGATCCACTGCCGGAGTGAGACAAGCAAAGGGGTTTATTGTTTACAGTATGATGATCAGAAGATAGTAAGTGGCCTACGAGACAATACTATTAAGGTGAGAATGCTCCAAAATGGCATATTAATGGGATGCAGTATCTATGCCATAAACAATAGTGTCCTAATTTCAGTGACACCTACTCGATCTCTTGTTACTAACCTAGCCATCTTCCCCCACCTCACACCTGCACAGCATGTATGCCTCTCTTATCTGGCAAGAAATATGCTGTTTTCTTACAAACAGACTTTACTAGCAGAGGTTTTATCCATCAGTAATTACAGGCTAAGTAATTACTGGGTATTACTGTGCCCTGTACCCCGATGAGAAGGGTAAAACCAATGTTCGTAGTAAAGCCAGTAATATCAAAGATGTTAATGTATTGCACCAAAGAGCCTGTAGAAGACTCTACAGATGCTACTAAAGATATTCTAACTACACTATGGATGATGTGTTGTAGTAAAAAACAGACCAGTCAAACCAGTAAGTGCTGAAAGACAAAAACTGTACTGAGCTGTCTGGTTTTGAATGTTTGCTATCTTAGATCTGGGATAAGAATACATTGGAATGCAAGCGAATTCTCACCGGACACACAGGCTCTGTCCTGTGCCTCCAGTATGATGAACGGGTGATCATTACTGGATCTTCAGACTCAACAGTCAGGTGTGTGCTCGTGATTTGGAGCTTTCTGTTTGCTGCTAAGATTTTAGCCTTGCAAACTGCTGAAATGATCTTTTCTTAATTGTGTACTGTTCAATTGGTTCTGTGAAGTAGTTCAGCATATTTGCTCAGGAGCATACCATCCTTGTTTATCAGATGTCCATGCAAATGACTGTCAAGGAGAAATGAGGACCTAAGCAAAGGCCAATCAAGGTCAAGATCTTTCAAGGTCCCTTCCAATCTCTGTGAAGATGACTTAGGAAGGCTATCTGGCATTTCACCAAGGTTTTGCATGTTTTGACACTCCCTGAGAATGTTTTAAATTCTCCCCAAGAATAACTTTTTTAAAGTTGGTTGAAGTTTTTAAAGCAAGTTTGAAGGTTTAGTCATCCATTGTCACTTAATTTTAACAAAAGTTGTATGACTAGGTCATCTGTGACTTTTAATTAAATTTCAGCATGGTGTTTCTTTTCATTCAGTCTTTCTAACCTTGCTTTCCTTCCAGTCTCCAGAAACAGGCTGAACACCTCAAGTCAGCACTTGTGGTATGTGTTGTGCAGATGTGAAGTCCACTAGACATATTACAGGACCCCAGAGGGTCTAAGAGTTGCAGTGTACGTTTGAGGTAGCAAATTGCAATATGAACTTGGAGGTGAAGGAGCAAGTCTGTCTTCTCATGTTGCTATATATTCTCTTCTTGTCAAAGTACAAACAATGCCCATGCAGTAAAGTTACAAAAAGCTGTGTCAGTGGCCTGACATGTGTTCCTATAGCTGCAAGCTGCTCATGGTTATCACCTTGCTTGCATGTAAACTGCCGCTGTTAAGCCAATAACCATTAAATTTAGTTCCTAACACGCAATACGTGCAGTCTTGTGGTGCTTCTAGATTTTGGGGTCCTATCATCAGTAGGAATTCAGAATTTCAGGAACACTGCCTGCCTGGAGACAGTGTGGGAAGTGCACTGTGCTAAACAGATCACAAAAGGAGAGGCTGATTTCTGTAACAAGTACTAGCATCGTCCATATCAGGCCAGGCAGGCCAAATTGCAGACTGGCTAATTGCCCAGAAATTCTTTGTTTCACACTGTATCTGTAAATGTTTGTGCAGACCCCAGAGGCACATAGGATGCATCACTTTTATCCTTGGGTCTCCTCAGGAAGAGGGGCTTCATCCGATAGACAGTACAGATGGACTCTTAATGCTTCTGAGATCTCAGGGATGCACTTGTCCAAAGAAGTCAGTAGGTCTCCAGCTCCTGTTCAGTTTGGCAACCCTGTCTGCAAACTGCTCTTATGCTAATGGCTCAGGTCTTTAGTCTGTGGGTTTTTCTCCTTTGCATTTTGTAATTGGAATGTAGTTTTCTTTCTCATTTATAGTCCATAAGTTGATGCACTTCAGCCTCCATAAGTTAGAAAATAAGACATTAGAAGTCTTTCTCACATCTTGCCTTTTCTTATTGCTTGCCTTATTGGCAGAGGAAAGTTTTAACTGCCTGATGATACAGCCATTTTCTGCTTCCAGGTAGTGTATCTGGGATACGTGTGTGATAGTGCCAAAATGAATCTCTTTATGGAGGGTAAAAGAAGTTTGCCAACAGAATAGCCCAAAATAAACATCTTTAAGGCTTAAACTCTTCCTTTGAAGTCCTAGAAGTTCTGTGTGAAGCCTTTGTCTAACTTTCATCTTAAATTATCTTTCAGCTGAAATGGTTGGTTACAATAACATCAAATTGACATAAATGTCTGTCTTAATTTGGGTATTCAGCATATTCCTGGAGTGTAGCTGTGTACCAGATGTCCTGCAGGATAAATGCAGTTCGTGGGGCAGCTTGTGACAATTACTTATATTTGTTTGCAAGCATTATCTTGTCTTCTGCCTCTGTATAAATTATCTTTTGAGTTGATAGTCCTGTGGGAGAAGTCAAAAATTAAACCTGTCACTGAACTTGCTTCTCCACAGGTCATGATTAAGTACTCATTGACTGGAAACAGAGTGTGTGATAGGCTGGCACAACCAGGAAACATCTATCTTTAAGACCATCAATCTCATACCTTTCCTCAGCACTAAAGTCCCTTAATTAAAGACTACTTTTTTCCTGACTGTGTTATTTTTATGATGTTGAATGCATTGCGGGGTTTTTGGCTGCTGGACTGTCTCAATGTATCAACAGGTTTATATAATACAACTTTGAATGAACTCTTTAATAGATGTAGATATAACTTGTGGTGTTTACTTCTCTAATATTGGTAGAGAGCCAATTACCTCTACCTGTCCCTCTCTTGCTCTGCAGAAAATCCACTGTACAGTTTTTTAACTCTCTGATTTGAAATTTGAAACTGCAGGGTGTGGGACGTGAATGCAGGCGAGATGCTGAATACACTGATTCACCACTGCGAAGCAGTGCTGCACCTCCGCTTCAATAACGGCATGATGGTGACATGTTCCAAAGACCGTTCCATTGCTGTGTGGGACATGGCTTCACCGACAGACATCACCCTGAGGAGGGTGCTAGTAGGGCACCGAGCTGCTGTCAACGTAGTGGACTTTGATGACAAGTACATTGTATCAGCATCAGGAGACAGAACTATAAAGGTGAGGTGTTTCAGAGGCTTTTTATTTGCAGCACTGGGGTATTTAATAACCAAGAAGAGTGACCAGACAGGGAAGACGGTCCTTGGTAGTTATTACACAGATCTTCCTTTAGAAGCTGCTAACTTCCACTTGCCCCTCCTCTGTTCAACTTGCATAACCTGTTTACAGAGCTGTATGGCAAATCAGATCCAGGTACAGATGCAGTTGAGAAAGGACTTTTTTTTTCCTGTGTTCTTTTTTGACTTGACCACTTCCATAATCTTTCAGCATCAGTCGTTCAAACAGTTGTCAGAGGGCAGCATGGGGGAAAAAGTGAAGGTGAAAGGGTAGGAGTCACTTAAGTGTAACTGCTATTATCCCAATCTGCACCATTAAAACTGAGGAAAATTAAGATCCTGTGCAGACTAAATCATAGCCCAAGAGTGCTAAAGCCTGATTTTAGAAGCTCATTCTCATGTGGTGTGGCAAAAATCTTCTGTGTACAGTGACCCAAGTTGCTAACAGTTGCAGACTATAGTCATAAGTCTTTGGAGGGGTAATTTTCCAAGTCTTAATGATAGCATCTTCAATTAAGAGCATTCCAAATGCACCTATATATCATACGGATACCAGCTTTTGTTAGCCTCTTCTTAATAATTTTGTCTCTGTGTGGTTCCCTCCCCTCTTCCTGTCACAGGTATGGAACACTAGTACCTGCGAATTTGTGCGCACCTTAAATGGCCACAAACGAGGCATTGCATGTCTGCAGTACAGAGACAGACTAGTAGTGAGCGGCTCCTCAGATAACACGATCAGGTGAGACACACACTCCTCATTGCAGAGTTCCATGCAAGCATGTTGTCTGTGACTCCCTGAGATGTGCAGAGGTTAGGCAACTGAAGTGCTCTGTACCCTTTGAAATATGCTTTCTTTGGTATAGAATAATGGGAACTACTGGAAAGAGATATTAGAAGCCTGTTTTACTGTGTTATCTTTCATCCTCTATATCTCAAGAGTGCCATACTAATCAACAAGTTGCATTGCTCTGACAATTCTGCTGTATGAAAGAGCTGGCAAGTACCACTTTCTGTGATGTCCTCTTGTGATATTTTAATTGGGCTATGTGTCTAGTTAAAGGGGTCAGATTTTCAGTAAGAGGCATTTAATCCTCTGCAGAAATCCCTCTGGGCTCTTGCCAAACTGTTCTTGTGGTACTTGGCACCTGGTTAAGTTTGGAACAGCTGGTTTAGAGCATGAAGTTCAGTTTGCTGCCTTTTGCACTTCTCCAGCTGCCCTGGTTGCAATCTGAGATTTAACTCCTTCTGATACCATGAGCCAGGATTTCTCCCTACATCCTGCAGCTGCTGGCAGAGGAATGTCTCACTAATCTTGGGGTGTACGGAGCAAGTTTGAATAGTAGTGTATGTGACGTAGGGAAATGGCTCTGTCATGCAAACAGGAGTAAGAGCAACCTCCCTTTTGTCTTTGTTGTTGCTTTAAATAGTCGTCTGCCTTCTGGTAAAACTTGAAAGCTGGACGGTGTAAGAAGAAACCGTTCACTTTGCATGTCAGTAATAGTTTCTCCTCAGTGAGAGTGATTCATGCTACTGTGGACTTTGCTTTTAACGTGCTGCCTTGCCCTGCTTTGCATTATGTAGGAAAATGATGGTCCTTTGGTGGCATAATTATGCCAGATTTTAGTATAGGGCTGAGAGCATGATCAAGAGAGCTGGAACTTCTGTCCCGTAATCAGGGGAAAAAGTATTACAGGCATTGGGCATGAGTAGCACCACTTACACAAGGTGAGAACTCCTTCACTTCAAATAAAAGAAAATAACCCTTTGCAATTATACTATGAAACTTGGCCTCATAATTAGAGTAAGAAATACTTAAAATATTAGAGCAGTTATGGAGGGATCTAAAACATGACTTGCAATGCTAATAAAAATAAATGTCAAGAAAGCTATAACAGTCAAGAGGAATGCAGTTACTTTTATGTTTACATTGGATAAAATCCGTAGTTGACAGATAAATTGTGCTAGAATTTCAGTAATGTTGATAGTGCACCTTAATGGGAGTCGAGTTTGGCAGCTGTGTGGGCAAGGCACAAGACTTACCTGGTCACATCATTTTCTCCCAGCAATTAGCAGAGGGCACAAGTCAGTGGAAGAGTATTTAAGAAAGGGCAGGTTACTAAGTCATCTTTGTGGGTGGCTTGATGCTTTGTATGTTTGATTTTAATCCACTGTAAAATGCCCGATGTTGTGTGTTGGCCTTTAGCAAAGGCTGCCTCCTGATACAGAATTTGAAGTTCATCGTTTATCAGTTGCAGGGAAACTTTTTTCAAAAAGATGACTCTGTGGTTTCTAGTTTTGCAACTGCAAACGTAAGGACATTTGAAGTAGCTGAGAAATCAGTATCTTTCTTCTGTAGGGAGACTCCATGTGTAAAAAGTATCTAGGTTTTGTTTTAGGCCACAAATGTCACCAATGTAAGAGGACACAGCTATGTAGACATCGCTATCATTGTGCCAATTTCCATCTGATAGAAACTGGTCCATCAGATTTACTCCAATCACTTCAGTATCTTACCCTCTAGGGCCAAAGTTCTTAATTGTTACAGACAAGCATGATACAGAAAAAAAAAAAAAAAAAAAGTTTAGATTAAGAAAATAGAATCAGACTGCATCATTTTGGGTTAATTTTTAAACAAGTAGTTGATTGGTTGATTAGCATGTGTATAGTCAACCTTCCAGTGTGTGTACACACAGGGATCTGATATTGGACTGTTTAGACAACAGCATTCTCTCTAAGAGATGGGGTTTCAGACTCACCTGCCTTCTGTACTTCTTCCAGCTCTGCCAGGACTTCTAGTGAATTAAAGGCTGAGATAATTGCAGACCTCCCTCTACTTCCAGGAATTCTCCCAAAGCTATAGGAAGGAAGAATTGTAGTGTTTTTGACTGCGTACACTTTGCAGTGGAATTTTTTTAGTTAGTTCTCAAGCCTTAAAAGTAGTTCTCTTACTATTCGGTCCTTTGACTATTTAAAGTAGAAATTTGAGAAGGTTATGAAATCTAGGAGGTACCCTTGGCACCAATTCTGCTAGGATTCTGCTCTTACATAGCAGTTATCCCTTTTGTACATGAAGGCCCATTCCCCACGTGGCTGGGGATATGATAATCTCTTCTAATCCCATTCAGATTCAGGTAAAACCTCAAACTGTGACCCGAAAATACAGGCCTGAGTTAGTGTGATGCAGCCTCCCAGAGCTGCTGGCAGTCTCAGGATTGATGGCAAGAAATGGAAACACATGGCATGAAAGTTCCTGGCACAAGACTGCTCTTCAGACCTTTCTGCACCAGTTCATTTCTGGCATTGTCTGTCCTCTCTACAGTTCTTGAGAGACTTAATGCTATCTGACCAGCCAGAGTGCCTTTGGCTGACCTTTGCCATGGAACTGCTCGCTCTGACCTTGACTGGTGTGCTCGTACTTATGTGGAAACTATTGGGATCTTCACAGATTCCTGAAAGATCAACTTCACAGATTGAAGAATCACCTTGTGCTACTCATTGGCCTCAAATGCGTGTATTGACAAATCCTTTCCCAGTTCTTCAGTGACAAAAGAGTTCTGTTCATTCTCTGGTGTCCAAAGTGAAAGCACCTTGTTGTGGCAGGACAGCTGCAATTATTATCCACCAACCTTGGACACACATCCACAGGATCTGGATTATTCCCTGGGGGATTTAAGGAGTAAAATATGTGGGGACAGTTTATCTCTTTCTTTCAGTCTCTCAAGGATAAGTGACCTGACCCCTCAGCAGCTGTGCTGCTTCAAGATGTGTCACCCAGAGAAATTCCATGAACCACCCATATTTCTCACTACTGTGAAGTTCATGTCAGTCTGAACAGTAATTGAATGAGCATTTAAGAACATTTGTGACTGCTTTCTTTCAACTGTGTGTCAGGGAGCTGCAGCAGATGCTTCAGTTAGAAGATTCCTGTATGAACAGAGCAGGTCTCAGCCAGAGATGGAATACCTCTAGAACAATATATGTCAAAGAATTTTAGTTCTTATAGGCAAATAATCTTTCTTTGGTAACTGGGAGTCATGTCAAATGGAAAAAAAGTATGGAAAGCAACTAGACTTACTTTGTAACCATTTCATGCTCTTATTAAGTATTTTTCAAGGTAGTGTAGAAGTGTAAAAATGCATTTTAATTTATTTTTTTATATTTATTTAATTTATTCATGCTAAAGTCCTTCACGAACTCCAAAACTCTGGGATATTTACAGTTGAGAGAATAACACATTGCTGGGTCTCTTACTAGGATACTGTGTACTGCTTTTGATGCCAGAACTTTTTTTAAATATTAGATTATTAGGAACAGTTAGCAGAGAGTCACAGGAATTATTTCAGAGCAAAAAGAAAATGAGTTACAAAATAATAAACATAGAGTGCCCATTTTAGCTTATGCATAAGGTGCCTAGATTACAGAGTAAACATACCTTCAGTGGCAGAAATGACAAATAAAAAGGGCTTATTAATTCTTGTACCTTTCACCACTGTATTGATGTCTTAATTTGTCTGATGGTAGTCTCCAGATCAAAAATAGGCATCTAGGGGCACAGAAAGGAGCACATGCCCTGTGAAGGTGATCTTCTCCTAGTCAGCTTGTTCCAACTGGTATTGGTAACTCTCCCTCTCTTAACATCTTGAAATCAAGGCAGGATACTTTTATGAAAAGTCAGCTTCAGTAAAATAAAGTTATGAGGCTCACTGTGAAGGTAACTGGGAGATATCCTGTGTTACTAGAGCAGTAGATAGTAGACACAACTGGTCTTATTTTGGTTCTCTGACTCATTTCCCATGTGATACTGTAAAATAACAGGGTCACGTTGAACAGCATGCATCTGCTTAACAGCAGGAAAAGGAGGGATGAATGTAGTTTGTTTCTTTTTTGTTGTTTCATCATAATCTCTATTTCCAAGTTTCCATTAACTACAAGTAAAGACCAAATGTTTTGTTGCAATGATCAGATATTAAAAAATTCTTAGAGCGTCTTCCTACTTTCTTCCAGGCTGTGGGATATCGAGTGTGGGGCATGTTTACGAGTACTGGAAGGCCATGAAGAGTTGGTGAGATGCATACGCTTTGATAACAAGAGGATAGTCAGTGGGGCATATGATGGGTGAGGCTGTCAGTGCAGTCAATACCTTGTATCTTCCTGTCTGTCTCAGTGTCTCACATCCCACTTTGCTGTATCTTCCTTCTAAATATTGGACTCCTTGTCTGTCATACCAAGAGAACATTTTCATGTCCAGTAAATCGGGGCCATGCTATAAAGTGTACCTTTCTTTCATCTTTTGAAATAAGTCAGTGTGATTTGATGTGTGTGGTCCAGTTCTTTAGCTTGTAAGAATATCTGACTGACTTTAACCCAAAACCTCTTCTAGCTGAACCATTGGTAAGAACAATCTTTCCCATCTGTGGTTGTCTTCTGGACCATTTGCCATTACTGACTAGGTGTGTGCACTCCCACATGTTCCTGTTAGTTATTGCCACCTGCTTTTTAAATCATTTACTTTGTTGACAGCGTATTTTTTTCTCCCGTTAAGCTCTATAAGCTTTACAAAGAGGAAATGCAAGAACCAGATCTCAAGAGCAGAAGGATTCCTGTAATTTTCCTTGAAGTGGTGTATTTGCTAAGCTGTACTAACAGTTAATTTTTTTTCTGTGAGCACTTGCTCTTTTCTCTTTAACAGAGCCATGGTGTTTGTCTATTTTTTCACTACCAGGAAAATTAAAGTATGGGATCTTGTGGCTGCTTTGGACCCCCGTGCTCCAGCAGGGACCCTCTGCTTGCGAACCCTTGTGGTAAGAGCTTTTGGTAGGGGTGATAGAGGGGGCAGAAAAAGATGCTTGATCAGGGCTGTCTTGAGCCATGAAGTGTCAAGTGAGTTGAGCCCCAGTCTGCAGGAGCTAGAAATCCTTTCTAGGCATCTGGCTTCTTTGGGTGTCCAGCTTTTTTTTTTTTAATATTGCAAGCTACAAAATATTAAAAATTAGAACTTGTGGAGGTTTCATTCACTTTGCAACAGTTTTGTTCTGTGATTTGAAGTTAATAACTAAATCAATTTTTGAAACTTGTCCTTCTTGGAATCCAAGTGCCAGTGGGTTTATTTTAACCTGTGTTTACCTAATGACATAGTATGTTGTCTGAACTGTTGACATGAAATTTCTTAAAGAAAAGCGGTGCATTCCAAATTTGAGGAACAAGAACAAAAACACCTTTGGGATTGCTTTTAACTGGCTTTTGGGTGTTTAAGGAAAGAGAAGGTTATCCTTAAACAGGAACTGCTACTTTCATGCTGTCCATTGATACTTAGTGCAGGTCTGATGATGGTGTGGTTATGCTATCATTGTGTGAGCATTAGCAGCATTCAGTCATGCTTAACAGTGGCTCTGCACTGGTCTTAGAATAATATGGGAAGGTTGTGAGAAAAATGCCAGTACAGCCAAGGCCATGGGATAGTTCCTAGAAGTTTTCCTCCATCACATTCCCCCCCAAAAGCTTGCACGGTTGCTACTCTGACAGCACTTGCTCTGGCAATAAAGGAAGGTTTCAGTCTAGTACCAAATTCTCATTGAAAAAGAAGTATTAAATATATTTATCTTTTAGATAAGAAATATTTGAGCAGTTGATATATTTTAGACATTGTCCTACTGTGGCATGTGACTCTGTGTAGTCTGTGCTCTAAACCAAGATCATACCAAGGCATTCTGATTCTCTAAAAGCGTAGTTGCATCTCACCGGTTGAGCTGCACTAGCTCACTTTCTGCACACTCATCAACCACCTGAGCTGCTACTGTTGCTGTAGATCTTGTGGAAGTATTTTACTTCACATTTGGTGCAGACTGTGAGGGTTACTGTGACTCAGCTGACAGGCAGTAGATCATTAAGCCATGCTAACTCTTTTCCAATCATTTATTTGGACCGTAAGCTGCAGAGTAAGAGTCTGAGAGAGCCTTGGATGCCTGCAGGTACTGTGTTGAAAAACCTTCTTGTTAGCCAAATAGAACTGCAAATAGTTTCATGGCTGAAATCCAGAAAAAACCTTTGTCATCAGCTACCCAGTTGCAAACTATAGAACAACTCTGTGCTCATGAGCGCGTATCCTGAGAGGCTAAGACTTCAGCTTGGTATTTTAGCAGTGCTGCTGCTCCAGCCTGAGACAAATGTGTGCCTAGTAACCTGTAGACTTAATTTAACTGGTGCGATTTCCTCTGCATTTTCCAGCAGTGGACAGCCAAAGTGCCCCAGCTAATTATATTATAAATCAGAAGCGGTGGGATGGAAACACTATAGGAATCTCAATACATGGATACTCATAAATCCCTGTTTGATAGTGATGGAGGGGGCCAGAAGACGGGGGGCAGAGGAGGCTGTTGTGGTGCTTTTAGGACTTTTCATGTTCATGACAACAGGGCGTCCTTATACCTGCTTACCCATGGTTTGTTTGGTTTTTTTTCTCTTCCCTCGGCCTCCAAAATTAAACCTGGCTGCACAATGAACATCGTGAGTCTCCTGCTGCTTGTGTTCAATTTTCAAACAGTAGGAGGAAAGTGCACAGATAACAAATGCTCGCTGCATGCCAGGTCCCTTCCAGTTCTGTCTTCCGTTAGCTGGAACAGTGGCCACATGAATTTGACAGAAGCTTTCCAGGCACAGCATAAGCACACAGTTCAGTTTTCCTTACAAGGCTGAGGTCCTTGTGGCCTCAACTCGGGGTGTGCAGTCTGCTTGTTGCCACTGCAACAGCAAAGGGGTGGGTGTTGTGTGGAACTTCTAGGGCAGCCTTACTCAGCCTGCAGTGACTGGGAGTAAAAAGGGAGTTTTGGAAACAGGCTTTGGAAGTACCTCTCTCTCTTTCTCTCTCGGTGTCTTTGTGAGCAGTCCCTCAGTGAATCTGACTGCCATAGTGATATTTTTTAGCAAGAACTTCACTTACTTCACTGCTACAACACAGACTCCGGAAAAACATTTCTCTTTGGAATAGGTGGGATGGTAGAAACTCATAAGGTGTTTTTAAGACAAACTTGAGTTAGAATATCAGAAAGGCCAATGGCTGGACCTTTTTTAAAATTTATCTTAAAAAACAGAATCTGACTTCTATGTGTGTGTGTATTTTCAGTTAATTTGAATTTTAAAATGCAGTTTCACTTTAAATTGTGCTTTGCAAACTGAGCTGTATTTTTGTAGTCCTCTGCCATAAGACAGGGGCTTCTCGTTTAGTAGCTAACAATTCTCTTTTGTCTAAATATTTGAGAAACCTGTATTTTCAGTACTAAAATATTTTAAAGCATGTTTTTTTCATGACCCTTTACAACATGTGAGCACTAAAGAGAAATACGTATTAACAGAAGAGAGAGGGCTCACTCTACTTGCATGGTTTCTGTTCCCTTCTGACCAAGGAGGCCACTGCTCACTCTTGCAGCAGTGTAAGCACCAGGAAAAAATAGGCAACACAAAGGGGAAAGCATAGTGGATTTGTGATATCCAGGATCTTGCTGTTACCTCCTGTTAATTACAGTCTGAACTCTTGCCAAATCGTCATGCCATTTCCACTCAGCCTCAGAGCAGAATGCAAACTGCCTATAAAGAATGCCCTTTCTAGTTCATCTTTTTAGAACTGCTTAAGAGGAATTATTACTGTGTCACTGGAATTTACAACAAGCTCCTTAATGTCCTCCAGTATTAAGCTCTTTCCTCTTCAGCAGTGGCAATGTTGCCAAGTCTTCGGTGCAAAGTTCTCATCTCTTCCCCTGTAACCTAATGCATCTAGGAATGCTCAGAGTTTCACCATGGAACAAGGAAGAAGTGCTCCTATCAGCCTCACCAGCCTGAATTGTGTGGTGGAGGGAGCTTGATTTGTTCTGCATAGTACATGTCCAATATTGGTATTTAAGGAGTAACAAAATAACTGTAATGTAGAATTCCTGCGAGCCAAGTACTTAAATATGGCAAACCCTTTTCACTGAAAGAGGGCTTAATTTGTGCTATGTGATTGTGATGCACAAGTGTGTCATGTGGGGTTTATTGAGAAATGAGTGTGACACTAGAATCCAAGCCCAAGTTCATCTTCCCTTCTCCATTCTGAGTGCCAGCAAGTTTTTGAAGTAACGTGCTGTGTCTCCTCCTTGCATTCAGGAGCATTCTGGAAGAGTCTTTCGACTTCAGTTTGACGAGTTCCAGATTGTCAGCAGCTCACACGATGACACCATCCTCATCTGGGATTTTCTGAATGACCCAGCTGCCCAAGCAGAATCCACTCGTTCCCCATCCAGAACATACACCTACATCTCAAGATAAATAACACTACACTGTACCTCACACTCGCACAGGTAAAAAAATAATAATAAAAAAATAATTTTAAAAAGAGTCTGAAAGGTGACACTGGATGTGGTGTGAGCATGCTGCTTAAATAGCTAGCTGGATCTAGCAATATTTCTTATCTTGATTGGACAGTAATTACAGTGTCCTGTAAAAGGACAGGAATAGTTTTGATACCTTAGAATGGGGGCTTTATTTTAGGATTTGTGGCATGTGGTGCCTGTGAGTTGCCCTGAAGAAATCCTCCTCCTCTGTCCATCATCATCAATAATTAAATCAGCTATCGCTGCTATCCAGAAGGAAAAGGGTTTCTGCAGAGCGAGTAGAGCAGCTGCTGCCTGACAAGGGGATGCAGATGGCCTGACCCTGGGCAGTTGTCACTAGGCAGGAGGGTTTTGCCAAGAAGTGCCAGCTTTATTCCCTCCCTCTGAAGTGGCGACCATTCTTCTCACTCTGCAGCAAGCTGATTCAAGAGAACAGTTTGGCTGTGGGAAGAGACACGGAGGCACGAGCCCAGGCAAATTAAATGGAGACGCATCAATGTGCAATATCGTTTACTGATAGGGCTTAGACCTCATTTTCTCTTGCACAGCATGGATGTTAAATTATTTATGTCAGAGCCTGGCTGGTTTGCTCATCACCTTACCTTTTTGTCTTGGCCGACACAGTGTGGGGAAGACATAGTGTTTCCTATATCTGGGTCAGTTGTAGAGTGAATTTGATGTATATGAGTGGAGTGGGATAGCATGATTGTCCACTTTGCTGTGTACATGCACCATTACTGTTAGAAGCTTGAAAAAAATGGCAGAAGAGCTGACAGGCTTCTGCAGAGGGGTGTCCACAGAGACATTTTCCCATGAAAATGCTCTGTCATGGGGTATCCTGTTTGATTGGTAAATATATAATGATGTTCCAGAGCTGCCAGATCAGCCATCTTGATTTTCTCAAACACTCTGGTCAATCAAATTTTCTTTTAAATCATTAAAAGGTTTAGTACGAATGGGGTTTGTTTGGTTTGTTCTGTTTTTTCTTCCCAGGACTCATTTAAGCTGCAGTATTTAAATTATCTGCCAATGCCAGGACAAAGAACTATCCACGTAACCAATACTTGCTGAAGAGAGAGGCTCTCAGACTTGTTTCTGGAACAAAGTTGGCATGCGGTTGATCTCAGACAGGGTCTACTCAGCGCGGCTGACTGCTAAAGTGCTGCTATATCAGAAGATGACTTTTATCTTTCATGAACAGTTAACATTTTTAAACCTTCCCATCCCTTTTCTCCCTTGTTCCCCTCTTCCTGTTCACTCCTCTTCCCTTTACCCTGTTTGGTTCCCTTCCAAACCCAGTCACAGATGTCCTATGAAGATATTTAAGATGTTGCCAGAATGTGTTGCTTTGCTGTTAAGCAGAAGACTTATAGCCACACTGCACCCTGCTGAGAGAGTCACTTCAGGGTGGGTGGGAAGGAGGCTGCTACTCTCAGACAGAAATCAATATCCATCTCTAGGCCTTTGAGAAAGCATTCACCTCTGGAGAGTAACAGAAATACTTACAACAGCCAGACCAGCCCTGCCCCCCCATCCCCAACTTCCCTGTGGCTTTTGGCTGTTCTGACTGCAGAGCTATTTTTTGTGGAGAGAGGACCCTTGAAATTTGACTGTTATGAGCCAAATCCATCTCTTTCCTATCCTGCCTGCTCTGCTAACCCTTTGGAAGCTGAATATGTATTGTAGTCTCCCTTAACATCTGCTTGGCTGGGGAATACTAGTCAATGGAAAGTTAAATTCTCTTCTGCCAAAGTCCCAAGCCTGATGGACTGGGGCTGAGATCCTGTCCAGCCCCACCCCAGGTGAAATGTTGGCCCAGGGCAGTATTTCACTAGCAAAGGGATTGTCTGTACCATCTTCCTCCTGCTGTTCTCCCTGAAGGCAGCGTGCTGCTGTTGGCTTACAGATCATTCTGTAAATTGAAGGAAGTTTGAGGCTGCAGTGAGGAGGAAAGCTGGACATTGCTCCTTTCTTTCCATTCCTTCTCCCTTCAGAAAGGCTGTAGCTGTATTCTTGTCAAGAGAACTGCTAAAAACCATGTGGAGCTCTCAAGATCGAGCCATGCTAGAGTGGAGACACAACACAAACACTCTGACCATGACAATAAGATTTTGTCCACGTGAGCACCAGTGGGGCTCTGTCCTCTGGTGATGGCAGATGGGTGAAATGAGTATGGCCATGAGTACAGTCAGTGCAGTTAGCAGTGGCTCCAGGCCAGTTCTGCAGCATTTCTGGGGCTGGCCTTGCTAGAAAGCCTTTGGGGGGAGAACCTTTGGTGTGCTTCTCTAACCTACATGCATGCTGCATTGCAGTTTAGGGACACTGGCTGATTAGTCCCTTTGCTCATAGCTGAGCTGGATCTTTGCTTTCTAGCTGAGGCTTTTGCAAATTGCCATTGTTTAGAAAATAAAAATAGCCCTGAAGAGAAGGGACATGAGAAACAATTCAGCATGTCTCTGAACTAGATAGAGCGGTCTGGGGGAAAACAACTGTTTTCACAGAGATGGAAGGAATTGCAGCAGACCTGCATTTGGATCAGGAAAGACTGTGTATAGCATTCCCTGGCTATTCTGGTTTTAGGCCCAGGTCTTCCACTGTAGGTCTTGAATAACCCCCACTGCGTTAGTGAGGAGTTGCTCCAAACCCACAGTAGGAAATCAGGGCCCTTGCTCTCTGGGGTGGAGGGGTTTTAAACAGGCTTTGTTGAAACACTCTGAACTTGGAGCTTGGCAGATGGGAAGTTTTTTTTAAGCTGTTCTCATCAACTTCACTTTGCTGGGGAAGCAGTTGCGTTGTTTCTAATTGCTTGGGATGCGCTTTTTCCACCAATGAAATTTTGCAAGGAGCTGGGCCAAGAGTCCCCAAAGAGCAGTCCAGAGAGCTTAAATCATTTTGGTGACAGCTAAGACAGACAAGAAGGTGACAGAGTTATGGAGAAAGGGAAGGCTGGTGCCTGGGGAGTACCTAGTGCAGTTCCTGAAGCATGTGGGCAGCGGTGTTGAGCACTCAGATCCCTGTATTTGCATTGAGCCTGGAGACTACATCATTTCTAAAGAGTGTCTCAGAACATGTGGTGACACTCCTGTTTTCTGTTTGAACTGTTACTGTAAAAGAGTCAAACAGGTTAACAACTCTGTTCAGGTAACACTGACAGCGTGACCTACCTCTGCAGAGTCATAAAAATTCTGAGTCACAATGTTCATCCACAACTAATTTTGGTACTACTTTTAAGTCTGGGAAGGATGTTTGGGATTTCAGGCAGCTCTACATATCAAGCATACTGCACTCCCAAAGGCAAAGTGGCAAAGGAGCAGACAGAATCAAAGTTTACATCTCAAACTTTGCTGAGTTGAAGTTCTGAGTCTTACTCTTAATGTTATTTGAATACTGTTCCTCTAAGTTCAGTTATTACAAGATCTGCAGCATGGTTGCATATCAGCAGGATTTTATATGACCTTGACTGCACATCTAATTGTTATTTTCCTCAGTTTGGTCATCCTCTGTCTTTTACATTTAGGTTATTGTAGAAAGCAATTATCCGTTACTCCAGCCTCCAAAGGCTGCAGAACTTCCTAATGTTTTAATTGCATCTTTGTGGGCGATACCTGGAAGGGTGCATTTTAGTTTGCTAGTTGAGAGAATCTGGGAGAACTGGAAGACTGGCTGGCCAAACACAGAGACAACACCATTGCAGATTGTCCTTGGTTGTTATAACCCTGCTGCTCCACGCTGCTATTCTGTAACTTCTAAGCACTGTTTGGTCTTCAAGTGGTACCGTAGTTTGCGTTCTGCTGTATAGAGCTGTTAAAGGTACAATTAGTGAGCAACAGCTGAAATCCATTTTTGGCACATGGTAAGAACAGCGTCTTACTCTCAAGAAGGGACTGTGTCTGGATACTTCATACAGAACCACAGAAGGGTGAGGATTCCTACCCCACTCCCCGAGTTGTACAAATTTTCTGATAGCTAAGAAGGAAACTGAAGTTAACTGATTTAACTTGAACTTGAAACTGCCACAGCCTGACATTTGGTGGTGTTTATTGTGCACACAGGGAGGAGCAATCTGGTAAGTAGATCTCCCAATGTCAGAATAAAGTGGCTTTTTCAAACTTCCCCTGCTTAGGATATGTGTGTGTGTGTGTGTGCGCGCGCGCACAAGAGTGCATGTGAGAGAGAGATTTTAGCATGAACTGGATGGATAATTCCTCAGCCAGGTTGGAGTAATTGCAGAGTTTATAATGAAAAGAACTAGAATGTGCCTGCCAAAAGGAGATGAAAAAGGGCTGGAAGTGTCTGTGGGCTTTACGTGTTGCACATTGCTTTGAAATGAAATGAAATACCTCTGCTGCGTAGAGATCGGCACTTCTCCCGCAAGTAGGAAGCTCACACTAACCTTCCCCCTTGGACATGGGATGGAGAGTACTGGAGGTGTGGGACATTCAGAGCAGGACAATCTTTTATGGCCACACCATCTCCTGCTCGTGACTCCTTTGCAATAGGGCACAGTTTTGCTGCAAATATATCTCATCCTAAGAGGAATACAGCTTGCTTTAAAATATGCAAATAGAAAATGGCATGAAGGAATTTGCAGCGAGAAAACTTCTCCAACTGTCTCCTCTGGAGCAGCTCCCTCTGCTCTCCATTGACATTCAGGGACAGACACATCCGCTGTTGGAACAGAAGGATTCAGGTGACTAGCTGAGAAGTCTGTGATCATCGGAAACATTGAAATGCTTTACCCTTGTTTCTAAACTGGAAGCTGGCTTGGACCACCACGCTCTAGCTACCCGCCTCCTGCTCCAAAGGATCCTCTTTTATTTTTCTTAAATTTTTTTTGGACACTGAAAAAGCTGGAGAGTATCATGTACATTTCTCCACTCCAAGGTATATGTTTTCTGCCCCTGCCACGTGTTCCTTTCTCAGTCTGAGCAGAGCTCCAGGCTTGGTTCTGAATTTCTTGGCATCCTAGCTCCAGTGGGAAGCATATCTCCAGGTTGGGCTCTTTACCTAACTTTGTTAGCTTCCTTTTACATTTAGATCAGTCTTTTGTGGCTGATGATTCCTAAATTCGCTTGCGGGGGGGAATATTTGTGTTTGAGAAATCACAAATACTAGCAGCTCTTCCTAGCTAGAGAAGCAGATGAGGAGCTACCAGCCTTCCTACTTCAGGCTTGCTCTCAATTGTGGGAGGAAAGGGAGGAGACAACTCAAATGGTTGAAAGCTAGGAGGGGGTGCAGGGATGGAGATGGATCTCTGCAGAACTGAGGACAATAGGTCTCTTAGCTTGTGTAGTTAAATCAGAAGAATAGAGGTTTTCTAAGGGAATATCAAGAGTCATCAGGAGGTAATCAAATAAGGCCTCCAACTGTTGAACTTGGCAGTTGATGTCCCTTTTAGGTTGTGCTGGGGACGTGAGGAGAAAGGGATGGTCTAAACTACACTTGCCAAGAGAAGAAAACTCTGCCAGGGTCTCCAAGTGGCATGCATGATGCATCTGACATGCTGAGTCTTGCCCTACTGTTGTTACCCCCGAATCAATAAGCAGCAGAAGGAGGTGGGGAACAGCAAGTGACCCAGTTGTCCCCAGAAGAGATCTCCATATGAAATACCTCCATCCTCCTGCTGGCAAGTCCCTACTGGATTGATTGGCATGAGGGGGCCACAGTCTTTCTGTCACCAGTTTTAATTCAGAGACTCACAGAAGCAGCAGGTCCCTTGGGTGCATTCCTTCTCCACAGCCCCGGGAGGGTTGAGGAGAAGGAGGCTGAGGCTGAGCCTTTGGCTTCCCCTCCTTTCCCCCTCCCCCTTTTTTTTTTTTTTTTTTTTTTTTTAAGTGAGGTGTAGCCAAACTACTGGCATATTCCCCAAACAGCTCTCCCAGGGTGAGCCTTGGCACACTGCCAGAATAAATTGTCCTTTGTCTTGTCAGAAAACCCTTCCTGTGACTTTGTACTTGTTCCCAAAGAGCTTCCACATTTGTTGTCCAGTGGATATTGCATGGGGAGTTGGCAACGCTGGTTAATCCTTAGCGATGTTAGGCTGATATTCTCAAAATCAAGGGATGCTGATGTACATGGATGTACAACAGACCCTTTAGATATTATATCCAACTCCTAAATAGGTCCCTTTTTAATAGCCTGTCACCCTAAAAGATATCCTGATAGCTCAAGCAGGAGCCAAGTGCAGCTGTGGCCAGAAAATCAACATGAAATACCAGTCTTC